GTGAGTGAGAGAGGTTTTTAGGTGCGGAGACGGAGTGGAGTAAGAACTACGAAGACGACGAACAGATGAAAATGGAAGAGTCAAAAAGGGGAAATTGGCAATTGGGTTTCTACTGCGACGCACCGCCGACACACAGGCAATTGGGGTTGGGACTTGGGGTTCGTACAGCTACAAACAACAGGCTTGCTTTACAAGTTGGAGGGTTGGGTTAATATTATTGTATTTTCCTCGTGCTTTGCTTTGCTCAATTTGATGCTCCTGATCCTGATCCTGAAATGTATGAGAGATATCATGGTGGGATTTATTATTTATTAATCCATTGATGATTACTTGATTTGAGATGGTGCTTTGTGATGATTGTGAGTGATAGTTAATACTTTTTTTTACCGAAAGAACGTTCATTCATTACCAAAAGAAGTGGTTATAAGAGTCTCAGAAAACAACAAGGAGGGGGGAAATGAGATTTAGGATAACAATCCAGTCCCGAGGGAGCTCATCCCGCGTAAGCGTTTGTGCCACCCAACCCGCTCGCGCATTGAACTTCCTTGGAAAAAAAGAAACCTTGATTAGAGTTAGGGATGGCAATGGGTCGGGTTTTGCCAAACCCAAACCCAAATTAATGGGTTTATCCGTGAAAAAAACCCGGGGTAAAACCCACTGGGTTTGAAAAACTCAAACCCAACCCGCTGGGTATCCACGGGTTCATGGGTACCCACGGGTTTTTGTCGTAAAAAATTTACTAACAAATTCCTATCAAAATTAAAGTCAAATATCAATCTCCCAATACAAATTATCCATATATGAAACACTATTCTAGAAAATTCAAGCAAATCACAAATTAACTATACAAATTGTTTCAACAACAATCTAGAAAACTCAAGAAAATTGAAGCAAATCACAAATTATCCATAAATAACATGATTAATTGAAAGTTTCTTCCTTTCAATTAAATTTTTCACTCTCCACTCGATAACATCAACTTCATACTACATAACTAGAAAGAAAAAATTAGGCATGTCTCCACAAACATAAATAAGATTAGTTGTTTAGGATATTAAATATGCCGAGAAAATTAATTATATGGGTGTGGGCGGGTACCCACGGATCGGGTTTACCTAAACCCAAACCCAACCCAACCCGGTGAATAGTGAACGGGTTTAAACCCAAACCCGACCCAAAACCCGTCAACACAAATTTTACCCGCGTTGACCGGGTTGGGTCGGGTGGGTACCCGTGGGTTTGGGTTTTGTTGTCATCCCTAATTAGAGGGTTCTTGAGAAGGATGTTAGCCATGATCCCCAACCATGCAGCGATTCTCCAAGGCCAAGACTCTGGCGGAGCTGAAAGGGCCAGAACCAAGGGAAGACAGTCGGACCGGATCCAACATTGAACTGCTCGGTTGCACGCCAACAATAGAGCTTCCAAGAGAGCTTTTGCTTCCACTTCCAAAGATGAGGAACAAACAAGCGTGTCTGCCCTCCCGTCGCAGATATCTCCATGGTCATCAATAACAATAACGCCATATGCCGCCTTCTGGGAATCATTTAAAAATGATCCATCACAGTGAATCTCCCACACGGGGTTACTCGGCGGTGGTGAAATCTGGTTCAGGGTGTTGATGGGCTGACATGAGGGTAAAACAGTGTCCCTAGGTAGCTTAGGGCATGAGGTCCAAGAGTGATACTTACTACTTACTAGCTAGAGTCCTTTGAAAATTACAATACCATTTCCATCACATAAAGATAATTAGTGCTTGATCCATTTTTTTTAAAAAATTATTGGTAAGAAAGTCGCATCACGAAAAACAAACAAAAACCACAGTCAAGCGATATAAAAAAAGTAAATATAAAAATAACTTTTTTTTGTAGAATCATAGAAGTAACTTTCTTGTTACTATATGGGCAATTTTGTTACAACTATTCATCACCAATAAAATAGGCTTCAAACCATGCAAATTCCCTAAGAACCAAAATTCCATCTACCACCGCACCATTTCACAAGCGACTGTCCCACCCACAAAGACCATGAATGTTATCCCCTCCAAACCACAACACGATGAGCTAGCAACTCCATAAGGAAAATAATCTGAGATCTTGCATCTTGCTGGATCATATATAGGTCCGTGTATGGTGCTTAATCACTTCCTTACACACCCCCTCAAACGAAAGCCGACTCATGGGCTTGAAGTTTGCACAAGCCCGGCCCTACCATGTGCTTGAAAGACAACGGTTAATATTGGGGGTCATGAGGACTTGAACACGCGACCTCAAGGACAAACCAGCTCTGATACAATGTCATGAACCAGTTGGTCCTAATAACTCGAGTTGTTGGGAGATGGTTATGCTGGATCTTATACAGACCCGTGTATGGTGCTTAACCACTTCCTTACAGTCAAATCAGCCAAAACACCACAACCACCTTCATAATCTTCCATGATATCCGTATACCCCTTTCGAGCAAACTGCACCAAAAATCCCCATATGACAAACCATCATTGAAACCTCATTAAAACATAAAATAGAAAGGATATAATTGTATTTATAACATCTCGAACCTTTTTTGGTCAAAGATATTGTCCTTCTTGAACATAGACCCGCACGAATTTTTGCCGTGGAGTGCATATCAAGGTGACTTCTCCGAAAGTCACTCATCCTTGAATTGCTCCATAGTGAGCATGTTTAACTTCAAAGTTCTATATATATCAGACAAATCTCACATCGACAAAGCACGAGAGAGATTCATCATGTTTAAGAAATCAACTTTTATTAATGTCAATTAATTGCAAAACGTGTCTTGTCAATTAATAAATGTTGATTTATTAAATATGACGAATCTTTCTCGTGCTTTGTTGATATAAAATTTGTCTAATATGTATGTATATATATATACATTAGTAACTCAACTTCACGTTGTAATTTGCCACACCATCATCCAAAAGAGACACTAACACCACTTGTAAATGAAGTACAGTTCCTCTTTCACAGCTTACAATTGCAATAGTTAAGGTCAACACCAACTTCAAAAGCAAGTAAAATTACACTATGTTTCCGAAGGAAGAGAGGAAAAGGAGGGGAGGTGAAAGAAAATTAAGAGGGGAGGGGAGATTTGGAGGTGAAGGGAATTGGGAGGAAAATGTTGTTTTATGAAGGAAAGTGGGAAGTAAAGTGTGTATTGGAAAGTGTGATTAATATGTTATTTAATTGGTTATGTAATAGTAAAATAATTTGATTGTATGTTAATATTCTACTTATGAATTAGAGACTTTATTATAAAATAATTTGATTATATGTTAATATTCTAATTATGATTGTATGTTAATTTGATTGTATGTTAATATTCTACTTAGTAAATAGACTTTATTATAAATAGATTGTATCGTAAAAATTAGTGATAGGGTATTTTGTTCTAAAATCTTGATTTGACCACATCAATTATTTAAAAATGATTGAACTTTAATAACTAAAAACATAAACATACAACATTGAGGAGATTAATTGGGTTATTAATTTTGTTACTAATTTTGCTTACTATTCATCCACCAACTATAATAATATATCATAAGAAGAAAGTATATCACCTTTTAAATACATCACGTAAAAAATATGAAAGAAATACATCATAAAAGAGAATAATGAACTTCCTAATTATAGTCTATATACCTGTTTGCTTTTATTTCTAAGTCCTAACAAGAAAAAAAAAGATAAACACGAAAAGAAAGAAATAGTGGGCAAATGTCAGAAAGTGCACCACCAAGCCATTTTCTCTCCAATTTGGGGGGAGAGGCTTACACAGTAACTATTCCATCCATTTTCTCTCCCTCTCGTACTGTAGGTCTCTTCGAAAACTAGGGAAAATGTCTTGGTTCTCCAACTTTCCATCGCTCTTTTCCCTTCCCCTCTTTTTCCTTCTTTCTAGAACAGAGTGTTAAAGGATCAAAGAAAGGGGGATGCGGCATAGGGTCTCGGTAATTAGAAACTAAAAAGGGGTAAGGGTAATGATCAAGGAGTGGAAACTGTGAGTTTCAAAGGATAGGGTAATGTTTATTTTTTTTTCATTGTTTGGTTGTGGTGCACTGGTGTGAGTTACTTTAAAACAAACATACTTATTTGATTTTACTTATTATTGTTTATTACTTATTAAGATAAATAACTTTATAACAAGAAAATCATTCTCGTATAATGAAGGTGTGTCGATCACTATTATTTAAGGCGTGTCGGAAGTTCCGAATTAGAAAAATGTGTACCAAAAATATATAGGTACTTCACAAAATTTTCGAGGTTACTAGCTAGGTCCGCCCCTGATTCCCTTCTAAATCCCCCTAATATCATATCAAAATATGTTACATTTGCTCCACATGCCCATATCTCTCTCTGCAGCTTTAGAATCAAGCGAAGGTTCTACTCGATCCACAACTACCTTAGTACACAACCTTAGTATCCACAAAGAGAGATCGAGTTGACCAAAATGGTGTGAAGGTTACCAATGATTAAGTGCATGCATGATATAATAGATGCAAAACTGCAAAGGCCAACAGGCAGCACAGCAGCGACCAAAGCAGCCAAAGCACGAGAAATCCAAATAGGTAAACAACTAAATACACATCTCTCTCTCTCTCTGCCAACTGCCACGTGCTTGTCACGCTCCATGCTCCCCCGTATCTTCTTTCCCATTATTGCGTACAATAACATGCAGACACAAGCTGCTAAAGCCAGCCAGGCAAATCAGCGACGAGCGAGCGCGTATCCGATTCGGCCCAAGGAATCATAGTCAAACTTGGGCCATAAACAAGTCTACCTCTCCACTTATGGAGATTGGGCTTAGTTTCTGAGTCCTAATCCATCCGGCCCAACTTTCCGGGGCCGAACTCCCCGTATATGCTTTCCCTCCTTCCTGCCGTCACCTCTGCCCCAGATTGACGTAAGTCCTGAGCTGGTTCTTTGGGGCAGAAGGATAGTTTGTTTGAAATATAAAATTGAACCCCAGATCCCAAAAGAAAGAGAATAACAATTTGGTCATCGAACTTCCAGAGTCAACCCGATCGATCGCACAATTTAATCGCAACTACGGATCTAATCCATTCTTTTTTTGCCGCTTCTCCTCTAAATCTAATATCCAAACCTGTCCTTATTTATTTGCTTGATGACTAGTTTTGCCAGCCTGCAAATTCTAATGGCGAATGAGTAATTTGACTTGACAACGCGGCAACAAGCCAAGCCAGCCCAGCTGCTTCGGTTTCAAGATCAAGACTCAAAGAGGAGCGCTATAAAATGGTGGTAGCTCCTGGAGTCCCAGGAATTTATCCGAAACCCAATAAACCCCACGAATCATCAAAAACCCAGCTTCTCCCTTTTCTAGATTCCTTGGTTTCTCATTTCGCCTTCCTCGCCAAGCTATACCTCCACTGCTTCTAAAACCCTCCAAACCTTCCTCAATCTTTCATTTTCATTCCCCATCGTCTGACCGGAAATCATGGCGGAGCAGAATGGTTCGTCGTCGGGAACTGGACGACGGCTGGTGGTCGTTGGAGGAGGCGTTGCTGGTTCAATGCTCGCCAAATCAGCCCAATTCACTGCCGACGTTACCCTCATTGACCCGTAGCGCTCTTTCCTTTTTGCTTCATAATTGCACTGGGTTATTTAGAGTGTGATTCAATTTTTCTGTGGGTTTATGATTCCTTGACCTGTTGATTGATGAATGGAGGAGTCTTTGAAGATGACCCAGTTTTTGGGTTGCTCTCTTCTTTCTCTAATTGCTCTGCATTTCGCATTCTCGAATTTTGGTCCTGAATATGAAGCATTTCTAGTCAACTGCATGTTAGGGCGATGGTGGATTTAGGGGAACTTGAACTTTTAATGTCTCCTCCTGTTGGGAGAAATCGAATCGGAATGGAACACTTTCCTTAAACCCTAACTTACCAGGGGAATTTGTGAGAGGAAAGTGACTTACTTTTCTACTTGTTCTCATGAATGTGGCGCGATGCTGGGAGCCCTTTTTGCGCTTTGATAGGCTATTGTATTTTTTTGGGGATGATATTGAACTGTATCAATGGTTTCCAACAGGAAGGACTATTTCGAGATCACATGGGCAAACTTGAGGAGTATGGTCGAGCCTTCGTTTGCAGAGAGAGCAGTGATCAAGCATCGAGACTACTTCACGAATGGGCGCGTCGTAACGTCCAATGCTATCAATATCACCGAGAAAGAAGTCATAACGGAAGAGGGCGAAGCGGTTGGCTATGACTATCTTGTTGTTGCAACTGGCCACAGGGACCCTGTTCCTAAGACTAGGAAGGAAAGGCTTGCTCAATACCATTCAGGTAAACCACAACAAACACGGAATCTCGTCGCTTTATCCCTTGCCTTGCTTTCTAATCCATGTTAGGGCTAGTAATAGAACTGAACTGAGGGCAGGATTGATATTTCTAGATGATGCATCGCAAGCAGTGAGCTTAAGTCGAACATATGTTTTCCTCCAATGCTGTTTCAGTTTGTGTGTGTTTATGCTAGTACTTTGTATGTGCAGACAATGAGAAGATCAAGTCAGCTAGTTCCATTTTGATTGTTGGAGGGGGTCCTACTGGCGTTGAACTTGCTGGAGAAATCGCTGTGGATTACCCCGAAAAGCAGGTGACACTTGCTCATAACGGTTCAAGGCTGCTGGAGTTTATTGGGCCAAAGGCTGGAGACAAGGCATTGAAATGGCTGCAATCAAGGAAGGTTGAAGTGAAGCTGGAGCAGAGAGTCGATCTAGACAATGTCTCAGATGACGACGGCAGCAAAACGTATCATACCTCATCCGGGGAAACTATCCAAGCAGATTGCCATTTCTTGTGCACTGGGAAACCACTGGCCTCGTCATGGCTCAAGGATACCGTGTTGAAGAGTCACTTGGATGCTAAGGGAAGGCTGATGGTTGATGAGTACTTGAAGGTCAAGGGCAGAGATAATGTCTTTGCGATCGGAGATATCACCGACATTCCTGTAAGTTGACATCCCCCTACTTTGGCTCTTATCAGTTTAATAGGTTTCTTTACTGACGAAACCGCTGCAAAATCGACTCGCAGGAGCTTAAACAAGGGTACCTGGCGCAAAACCATGCTACAGTTGTTGCGAAAAACCTCAAGGAAACTTTAAGCGGAGGAAAGCCGTGCAGATTGAGCACTTACAAGCCAGGATCAGACTTGGCAATCGTTTCACTGGGCAGAAGGGACGCTGTGGCACAGTTCCCATTTATAACAGTTAGTGGCATTCTTCCAGGCTTGATCAAATCCAAAGACTTGTTTGTGGGGAAAACCAGAAAGGCGATGGGGCTAGACCCTAATGTTGTAGACCATTGAAGCATCACTGTGTGTACTGAATCACTTGGCGTGATCGTGTTGTATTTGTACGCGTCTTCCATAATGTTTTCTTGTTCTTCCTGTATTTAAGGTTCGGCGTTGGTGGTTTGTGTGGGGGGATGTGATGCAATGTTATGTGCTATAGATTCGAGCTTCGCTAAGTTGTTGTATGATGTGTTCTTTGTAGGGTTGCTCACCCGAATTTACGATTGAATTCACATTGGAATTGAACGTTTTTTTTTTTATGTTTATGTGATCATTAAGTAGTAAATGGAGAGCATCATTACAAATGAGAAGAGAAAGGGAGAAAAGGCAAAATCCCTAGTCACAGTCATCAGATCTCTTTCTTTCTAGTCAGAACACCAGAAAAAGGGGAATCCGCAAGGATAACGGAAACTGAACGACATTTCTTTCTAATAGCTGCTTTTTTGGCAACTAATGGCGTCACACCTTTAGCAGCCTAAAGTCAAGCACCATGTTTCGTATTAGAACTTTGAAGTTTACAAGTAAAGAATATCAGATGTAGCCATGTAGGTTGGTGGCATTTTTCACTGTCACCCACTCATATGTTTCGTACCAACTACCAAGCACATCTCGTTTCCTAATTATAACATGTTTGTCGTTAAGAGTTTCATCGTACATAGGTTATTGCACCCCCACAAAAACAAACTCATTGTCCTGGTCTCAACCTGGCTTTGGTGCTCATAGCCAAATCTGTGAGAACGTGCTCACAGGGACGCATGATTGTGGGATAATCCGGCTATGGCCTATGGGTGCTCACAACCAAATCTGTGAGAACGTGACCACAGAGACGCATAATTGTCTGGATCGAGCGTCAGACGCTCCACGATCATTGGATCTATGCGGTGATATTGTGAGCATATATTCTCGTAGCCGCACTGTGAGCACCATAGTTGGATTGATTACCCGTGCCACCTCATTCAAGTCCATCTTCTTCCCTCCCTCCCTCCAATGATGAAACGAGCTGAAGATTGATTGATAGAGAAGAAGGACAGCAAGCAAGCAAATAGCAAAGCGGCAGTGGGGGGTGGCAATGACGCCATTGACGTTGCCTGTGGCCATCGCCTCCATCCATCATCCCATCCCTTGGCTCCAATCAAGAACCGCGCACCCCTCAGGTGCTTTTCCTCCTCCGTCTGACACTATTATACAGTAGAATAATAACAAGCAGAGAAGATCCCCTGCTCTGTTTTCCTCTGTTTCGCTTAAAACGGCTGCTCTGTTCAATCATTTGCTTCCACTACTGAATTTTATCTCTCTCCCTCTCTCCTTCCACACTGCCCAGCTTGATGGTATAAATAGAGCGGTGTTCTCCTGTTTACAGAACTCATACAACTCCAACTTCTACTCATCTTCCTCCCCTGAAGAGATCTTGATTAGCAATGGCGTCTCGTATTAACTCCATGAATAAGCTCCCCCCTTGCTGCATACTCATTGCCACAGCATTCCTGTTTATGGTCTTCTCGTCACTTGTCACAGCCTCCCACGATGAAGCTTCAGTCTTACCACCGTCTGCAGCTTCCCCTGCAGCCCGTACGAGGAAGGTCTGCTTCTCTGTGTTCTACGTTTCTTTCTTCTTTTCTTCTTCCCTCCCCCTGTTTTATTACTCTTATTGATTTCTTACAACCGTGCGTTTCAGGTACTGCTTTCTGCAGTGAAGGGTTCTGATAACAAAGGGTTGATCCATGGAAATGCTGCTGGAGGAGCCAAGGGTGGAGATCAGGAGGAGCTGAGGTCAGTTCCATCAGGACCAGACCCTTTGCACCATAACGGTGGAAGCCCCAAGAAGCCCAGACCTTCTTCCCCTTGATCTTTGTTAATGCAGAGTAGGAGAGGCTTTTGTAGCTAGTGGCTTCAGATAATGCTAACTCCCTTCAGTTTTGGGGGCCGGTTTTGAACTGTATTTCCATGCATCTACGTATCCTTCCTCTGTCCCCCCCCCCCCCCCCCCCCCCCCCCCCCCTGTTTTGGGGTTAATTTTGTTGTAGCAATTGCTTCTTCTGTTGCCTGTTGAAATTGTAATGCAGACGTAAGAAATGGTATAATATATTAACTATTTACATTATCATTCATCTCTTTCTTCTTTTCTGAACTAGTAAAAATGAAAAGTCAAAAGTTGGAGAGATCAGAAAAACCACACGGTTCATTACCCTCTCGGCTATTGCGGTGTCTTCGTGAGCTCTGCAGGCTGTGAGAAGGGATCCCAATATGACTTCGTTCGGGTTCATGGGCGTGGTTTCGATTACTTTGATTGCAGCTTCCAAGTTCCCTGCTCGGCTGTAAAGGTCCACCATGCATCCATAGTGCTCGATCCTGGGGAAGATTCCGCACTCTTTTTTGTCATGAGGTTGAAGTACTTCTGTCCTTCTTCGATGAAACCGACATGGCTGCTGGCGGTGAGAGCGCCAGTGAAACTGACTCCATCTGGCTCGAACCCTTGTTCCTGCATCAGTTTGAAGTACTGCAAAGCTTCCTCGGCAAACCCGTTTGCTGCTAGACCAACGAGCAATGAATTAAACGAGACCAATGTTCTGTTGGGCATTTTTTGTCGAACACCTGGCGAGCTAGTTCCACACCTCCGCATCGAGCGTACATGTCAATCAGTGAATTGTCTCTGAATTCTTGTTTCAAGACATAGTAGCGATGAATCCACAATCGGCTCCCGCGTTAGCACAAGCGGCAAGAGCCGAGATAATAGTCACGTTGTCAGGTTCGGCTTTGGGAGACCTGCATATCTCTGAACGACTCTAGTGCTTGCTCAAAGCAACCTTTTTTAACAAAACCCATCGATCAGCAGTCTCCAGGAAACTGCATCCCTTTGAGGCATTTCATCGAACAGCTGCACCGCAACATCCATCTCGTCATTCCTCATGTGCCCATCAATCAACGTGTTCCAGGAAACCGAATTCTTCACCTCCAGATCATCGAAGCAACCCCGTGCAAGCTACACCTCGCCGCATTTGCCGTACATTTTGACCAGCGCCGTTCCGACCATCAAGTGGTGCCGATCCAGCCCCAATTTTCGCACGCAGGAGTGGATCATGGGACCGAAGGACCTGCCTGCCTTCCGCCGGAAAATCGGCGCAGGTGGAGAGGAGGATTGTGAAAATGACGTGATTGGGTTCGACGGCGGGGCGGCGCATTTGGGTGAAGAGCGCGCGGCGGCTTGGGCGAGTTGGCCGGCACGGCAGAGGCGGGAGATGGAAGAGGTCCATGAAACTGTGGGGTGCTGATAGGAGATTTGTTTGATGGAAAGGTTCGATTTTGAAGGATTTCGAGTTCGGAATTGGTGCGGCGGTTTGATGTCCGGTGGCGGCAGCGGCTGCTGACGGAGTGTGAGTTGGGTAGTTGAAGAAAGGGCGGGAAGCGCCATTTGTTTCAAAAGACCGTTTTCAGAAGAAGAAAACAGAGACGGATGACCAAATTATCGAGTGTGGACGCGGCGGCGGGAGGTTAGGGTTCACCTTCACCCGATCATCAGCCCTATATCTCATCTAACGGTGGAAGATAAAAAAGGGTATTTTTGGAAGCTACAAAAGAAGAAAATTAGTCGGAAATTTAAATCAATCGGTTTTTCATATGTTCTGGGTTAACCGAATCACATTCAAATTTTGCAATGAGTAAATGTTTTTCTTTCTTCTGATGATTGGATTCTATTACGAGTAGTCGAGTAGATATGTATTGGATTGTTACGTATGTCGTTTCCATTTAAACTTTTCTAACAAAAATCCAAAGTTACATACGGTGGGAGGCAATCACGAAAGGCATTGATGATGAAGTTTCTCGTTTGGTCAAATCTACTTTCTGAGCCGGACACAGCCTCTGAAAAAGAATTTCGTGTCGTTGTTTTCTTTCTTCTGCTGCTGAATTGACCATCAGAAGAATAATTCCTCACTTTGGAATCGGAATCCACTTGCCCTTAAAGAGATCATATTGATGGATTATACAACAAGTGGTGCACGTACAAGAAAAATGAGTACTCGATTCATTGGTAAAGTTTGTTTAACTTCACATACGAATATAAACATTGTTGAGGATAACTAAGATGATAAACTTGTTGAAATGATTTCACTTACGGTTATTTGTAGTAATTTCTTAACGCACCTATATTTATTTGCTATTGGATCACAGTTTGTCAGTGATTGATGCACAGATCTTGGCACCCGAGATTGATACGAATCTGAGGGAAATTTGAGAGATTTAAAGGAATTGAGAATGACAAGAAGAGCTTGAGAATGAGAAGAGGAAATCATTTAGACGAGAAAGAAGAGATTAGGGAATATATGAATTTGGAATTTGTTGGAAATATATTGAACTATTGTTGTTATTCCATATCACGTAACTGAACGTACAATGTACATTATTATACACTCTAGTCAAAACCTTAATCGATTTAACATGATGACAAAATGTGAAAGCCACCCCTAAATTGAATAATCCAAAAGGACATGTTTCCATAATTGCATTATAGCCAATGCTCTGGATCAAATTTTACTGTACCAACAAAATATCTTGTGAAGGATCATATCAGCATATAGATTGACTGAAATGTTGTTCTTTTACTCCCTTTGTAGTACTCAATTACTCAAGGACAAATTAGATTTTTTCCACCAAAAGAAGCACCATAACAGCCACATAATCTTTTGCTGCTAGGGCTGGCTCACATTTGATAGCAACAGCTTAACGGAAAGAAGAGTGGCACTGCAATTTATAGGACACACTGCAGAGCTGCACATGGCAAGCCCTCTCTTTCATATTTCTTCACTTGTCTAACTAAAACATTATGAACCATACGCCAAACTTTTGTCCCATGGATGGAGATTGATTTGATTGTGACACCTACTCTCCAATTAAATCGCAACACCAATACCCAATTGTACGAGGATTGAGTCGCACCGTCGAATCTAAAATTTGGGAGAACGTCGAATAACATAGCACTTGAGTCGAGACTGCCAATGAAATGAACGTCAACTCTAAAATGGATCATCAGTAGGCAAAATGATTAGCCACGAACGTGTTCCTTGTAGTAGATATGACATAAATGAACTTTCCAAGTACATTAACCAAACATTGCATCGCTTCGACGAGAGCAAATCTCGGGTTGAGTCCAGTCGGTTGTGTATAGATCAAGTGCAGCATACAGCGAAAGCATCACATTAGATAAACAAAGAGAAAACAAGTCGAATTCGATCACAACCTTCAAGGAACTTGTTATGAAAGTAAACTAGCCAACTCAACCAACGAAAACAAAACTAATATGAAATCAACAACAAACGGGCATGTCTAGTCTCTATCTATCTACATCCACCACCGTCCACCAACGCCATAAAACCAAAATGTCGCATTCTCCACATCTCAAAACCTGGTGATATATCCGATACAACGAGACATTGACAGGATCATAGCACAAACTGAAGCACATACAATGACTTATCGACAATTACCAGAATTGAAGGAGTCAGGACACCAGGTCGCGCCAGCAGAGTGGCTGCTCTTGCTATCACCACAGTAGCTCACCGAAGTCGAAGAAGCTTCTTCCGAAGAGCTCGTCGTGCCTTTATCATGCCAGACTTTCAGTATCTGCATTAAGGGAGCATGGAGATCCATCCCGGCAAAGTTCTGAGAGATGTCCTCGGTTGGCTTCCACTTCTCCACGAGCGGTGCAAGAACGTTCACCGCGTGACTCATGTCGGGCCTCTGGCTGGGCTCTCTCGCGGTGCAGTGGCCTGCCAGCTCGACCACGATCGCGATGCTCTCGATTGTTTCTTCGGTCTTCTCAAGCGATGGGTCGATGGCGTTCATCATCTTGTCTCGGTCTGATCTGATGTGCCGAAACCAGTCTGGCAGGTACCGGGTTTCCTCAGCACGCTCTTCGTTCAGCGCGGTTAGCCCTGTCAGGAGCTCCATCAGCACCACTCCGTAGCTGAAGACGTCGGATTTCGTCGTGATCTTTCCAGTTACTGCAACAGCAGAGTTGTCAGTCTACTAGGAAGGAGAAGAAAATATAAGTTCCTTGCATATAGAGAACATTACAACAATAGCTTGTCAGTCAAGTAACCCAGTTAATCATGTCAAAGTATTTTGAGTCCCGTGTTATTTTAACAACTACATCCCCATAGTTAAGAGCAACACTTACCAGCATATTCAGGTGCAAGATATCCAAATGTTCCGGCGAGCTTAGTAGCAACAGAATCATGTCCATTCCGAGCAAGCTTCACCAACCCAAAATCCGAGACCTTGGCGCGAAAATCCTCCCCCAGAAGAATGTTGGACGACTTGAGATCTCGGTGAATAAACGTCTCCCTAGCCATGCTATGAAGGTACTCCATTCCTCTAGCAACATCAAGCGCAATGCTCAGTCTTCTCGTCCAAGAAAGAGGGTCCAAGTTAAACTTCTTCCATTGGAAAAGATGTCTACTCAGAGCACCTTGAGACATATACTCATAGACAAGTAGCCTCTCACATCCTCCGATAGCGTACCCCAAAAGCGAGACTAAGTGGCGATGGCGAGCTTTAGAAAGAACAGCTATCTCAGCTTCAAACTCACCATGGGCTTTGCTGTTGATCACACCAGCCTCCATTCTCTTGACAGCTATCATTGTCCCATCTTCTAGTTGACCTTTGTAGACAGTTCCAAATCCTCCGTGGCCAAGCTCATTCTCTGGGTCAAAGTCATTGGTCACCTTCTTAAGAACTTGGACTGATAACACCATGCCTCCAGAGTCCATCATACGAGAGCCCTCAGTTGTACCGCTACTCAGTGAAGTGTTGGACAATCTCCCAGTATAGTTACTTGCGACTGCAATTTTCAAATTGCGTTCAGGGTCAGATGGATCCCTAGGGTGAACCACAAACAAGCTCAAAGTCCCTGATGCTTTCTTCCTCTTCATACAGCTTAAATATAGACACAAACCAATCACCAAGAGAATCAATACTGAACCTGCCACGCTGCCAGCTATGATAACCAGTTTGTTCCCGTTCGATCTTTCCTTCACTTGGACAGTTGAATTGGCTGAAGATGGCATACTAGAAGACGATGGTGGTGACCTTATAATTGGCTTCCTCCCTGGTGGAGTAGCTTGTGAACTTGGAGGAAGTGGAGTGCCAATAGGAGAGGAAAGGGGCGGACCTTTATTGACCAGAAGAGGGTTTCCATCGATGACAAGCTTAACACCATCATGGAATTTGGGTAATGGAGGACTTAGATTGTTGCCACTAACATCCAGCACTCTTAAGGCCTCCAAACTAGTGAAATTTTCTGGAATCGAACCGGTTATATTGTTTCCTTGTAGATTGACATGAAGCAATGAAGTGAGCTTAGCTAGAGAAGGGCTGAGAGTACCAGTTAGATTCCGTCTAGGCAAGTTGATCACAGAGACTTTTGAGTTAGCATCACAGTTCAACCCAGGCCATGGCACTCCACATGGATCATTGCCACTCCATTCAGAAGTAATGCTCACAGGATAATTCAAATCAGCAACGAAATCTAACAGCACATTGACATCCTCGGCACATGAAAGCCCTGGTTTAGATTGACAAAATGAATTGGAATCATAACTAACCTTGCTTGCCTTGAACTTTGGGATTGGACCCATGAAGTGATTGTTGTTCAAGTCCAGGTTTTCAAGCTCAAGATCAGCCAATCCCTGAGGAATCACACCAGCTAGCTTGTTTCCATTGAGATTGAGCCTTTTCAGCAGTACAAGAGCTCCAATACCATCAGGAATCCTCCCACTGATAGAATTCCCCTGAAGCCAGAGTTCTGTCAATGAAGTCATTTCACTAACAACATCCAATGTACCACTCAACCCCCCTCCCTCCTGGTTATTCAGCCACAGAACCGTCATCGAAGACTGCCCGAAACTCGCAGGGATTTCGCCTACCAACTGGTTGTAAGAAAGCCTCAGAGAGTTCAGAAGCGGCATTTTCCCTATGAAATCAGGCAATGTCCCGACCAAGCTGCAATTGGAAATGGACAGATTGGTCAGCTGACTGGAACCTTCCAAGGCAGCCGGGAAAGACCAACCGGCGGTGCGGTTCAAAGGGTTGTTATCCAAGGAGAGAACTCGAATGCTGGCTAACCCATCGAAGAAATCAAAAGGAATCGCGTCGAAATGATTGAAATCCAAAAAGGCGTATTGCAATTCGGATAAACCTCTGAAAGTGGGCAGCTTGCCGGCGAAATCGTTCCTCTGGAGGCCCAAATTGTAAAGCTTGGTGAGCTGGTTGAAATTCTCCGGCAGTGAACCCACGAGGCTCATATTCTGGACCTGAATCTGAGTCACCCTCCCGTCGGCGCAGAACACGTGGGGCCACAACGGCGGGCCACACGGGTCATCGTCGCCGCCGTTCTCCGGCCACCGGAGAAGCTCTGGGTTTTTCAGCCCCTTCTTGAAATCCATCAGCACTTTGAAGTCGTTAGGATCCGTAACGGCGTGAACCCGTCTCAGGAAACACAGAATCAACAGCAACCCAACTCTCAGTCGGCTCACATCCCCACTTTCCGCCATCGCCGACAATCAAATTATACTTTTGTCCCCTTTTTCTTCCCCTGGGTTCACAATGTAGCTCAGTATTAAGGGAAAAGACTGAAACTTTGGGAACTGGGCGGCATGGAAAGCGAATTCCAGTTGTAGAGACAGGGAGAGTGGGATTTACACGCAAATGTGAACAGAAACTGAAGCGGCGAGCGAAGACGGAGGAATTCGCGGGCCGAAAAGAAGATCAATTTTGGTCCTAAATTTTCATGGGTTTGGATTGAAGAAACCGATTACGATAACGAGGGGGTTGGGAGAAGGAGGGGAAAGTGAGAGCTTTTCTTGAGAGCTCCATTTTTTTTTTGCATTGATGATTGTCACTCTTCTTCTGTGCTCTACTGCTCTTCCTCCTCCTCTCTCTCTCTCTCTCTCTCTCTCTCTCTCTCTCTTTCTCTCTGTCTCTAGCTTAATGGACTAACTTCTGTTCGATCCTTCTCCTTTTGTCTGCTTAGGACGAGATTTCGGTTGGTGGGTCAAATTACATCCCCCATTTTTAGTACGGTGGCCCATCCTCGGTTCCTTGGATTGCTATTGTTGGTTGCCGCCTCCGACTCCACTCCATGCGCTGTAATGAGTAGCAGTGACGGAGAGATATTTTTTTCGTTTTCTCAATTTCTTCTAAAAACTAGGAGGCAACCAATCGGTTAGACCGGTTGTGATCATGTTGTGGTTGAGTCGGTTGGTTCAACCTAACATAATGTTTATCTTTACAATCTGTCAAAATCAATCAACACAACTAATAATAATACGTTTTAAAGGTTGAGATTTCCACCATTCAAAAAAGGTAGCCATGAGAGTAAATTGCGGAGGGCTAATTTGGTCATTCTAAGTCTTCTAATTTGATCATAGCCTTAAATCGTGTTATTCGTTCTTGATTTCCTTAGATTTTATCATAGCCTGACAAAAATCGGAAAACACAATGACGACAAGATGAAAGGGTTATAAAGCAAATTAATCGGCCAACGGGCCGAGTAAAAGCTAGCAACGATTGTGAGATGCTCATTTCCCGAAAACCGACGGGATAGGCGATTTTTTATTCGATTTTCTGAAATTCGGTTTCTATAAAACTTACCCACCTCATCATATTATCAGAAACAATATTGTTTCACAAGGTAACAGGTACTTGATTTTGGTTCATAAGGCCGATTTTTGATTCGTTGCATCATTCATGTCTCTTTCCTGCTAAAATTCACTATTTTTATCACGTGTTTCCCATAAAAAACTATACAACAATAAGCTATACACACCTTCCTGCCATTGGTGCGTCCTCTGCGATTGGGACCAGCCGCCTTTGCTGATTGGTTGGCTACCTGCGTCTGGGTCTCGCCGTCGTTGTTGTGTGTGCCGCGTTGCCCTCAGCTGCACGCTCATTTTCCCTTAGCTTTCTTTATCTCTCTCGATCCTTCCCTCCTTCAAAAGGCATGTGATTCCCTCTGCCCAAGAATTCTTGAGAACTTCACCACTGTGAGGGGGTAGATGATGAGAAAGAAAGCAGAAAAGGCAGAGGGGTTTCTTGATTATTGTGATCCTTCGCAACGAAGTTTGGTGACCATTTTCCCACCATATAGGCTACCTATCTCCCAATTTCTGCCATATAGTTTCGTTGGGAGAAGAGCTCTGCTTTGTAGGGGGAGTGAGAGACTAATTTATTAAGTGCTTCATTCCATCTGTACACATTCATCCCCCATTTTTTCATCTCAGTTTCTCTCTCCTTTCTTTCTCCTTTCTCTCTTCAATCTCTAAAAATGGCCGCCTCCACCATCACCACCTCCTCTGTCGCCTCCGCCTCCTCCACCTCCACGACTGTTGTCATCACCGCTCTAACATCGCCACCTCCTCCGTCGCCGCCGCCTTTACCATCTCCACCGCCTCAACAACTGCCTTTATCTCTCTCCTTTCTTTCTCCTCTCTCTCTTCAATCTCTAAAAATGGCGGCCTCCATCATCGCCACCTCCTCTGTCGCCTTCTCCACCTCCACGGCTGTCGTCATCACCGCTCCACCATCGCCTCCTCCGTCGCCTCTGCTTCCACCAAGGCAGCAACCAGCCAAATGTTTAGTTTTTGATGATTTGCAGGTGACTGACGGGATGGGGATCGTCGAGATCGTGTCGGTGACCATTATTCTTCTTCTCTTTCACTCTCTTTCCGGATCTTCGCCAGTGCGACCAGACACCGGAGGGCCTCCACCGTCCCTGCGGCGGTGTTTCTCAATAGTCCCAAGAAACTCTGGTATCTAGCTCTGATAGTCTTAAGAGCACCCTCTTTCTGCCTCCGAAAAATTTATTTCATCTGTTTCCTTTGCACCAAACTCTAATCAATTTCATTCTCCATTCTCGGTTTCAGATTCGTTCTTGGAAGCAACGATCAAGTCCCTCCAAAAGACATGAGTTGATCCCGACATCGGAGCAAGGAGGTATTGGGATTTCCATCGTCGCCGATGGCGTTTACGGTGGGAAACTAAGGAGCGGATTCAAGGGTGTCCGCAGATCCAACGAGGAAACTATAAGGTTGCATCCCACCGCCGTCGTAGATATTCCCATAACCATCACTCTTCTACACTGATCAATCTGTCTTATTTTGTTAACTCTCCTCAGATTTGCGAAGTCACCAACAGGAGGGAAACCATATTTGCTGACTCTGGAGTTTGCGTTGAGAACTTGAAGGATTCAAGGGTCTCCACTCACTTTTTTATATACCTTTTCCCTCTCTATCACTCCATTTTTGACGTATAATGATTCGCCTCTCAACTTGCTCCTAATCTCTATGTCTCAAGTTCCGTTGGCACTTTCAGTTTATTTGACTGACTATTCTATGTTTTTATCCTTGGGTTTGAGATTGATCAGGAGACAGAATGGTCATATGACAGTTGCGAGACGATTTAGAGGAGATCAACGTCCGATGGTTATGTTTCTGCGTCTTTGCTAAACTTTTTTGCTTCACTTTTCTTTGAGAGTTAGTTCTCTCTTTCTTTCTCTAATTGTCAAAGAGGCGTGCATTGGCCCCATAGTATTTCATCAAGGGCGATATTTTCTGATTGTTGTTGCCCCTGATGTTCTGCTCTTCGTGAGATGAATGATATAGAGGGTATTTGAGAATGTATCATTTTTTCTCATCTTATGGAGGTTGTTGATTTTGTTCCGTTTGTTGTCAACATCCCCTATTTTATGGCTTTGCTTACTAATTCTTGCAGTTGTGTTTTTCACGACCATGAACAAGCAGATCAGGACAAGGAAAAGTTGTTCCAGCTTAAGAGTTCTCTGAGACGAGTTTCAAAGTGGCCAGAGTAGGAGTCCAGCATAAAAACAATAACAGGGGAATGGCTGTTTAGCACCTGCGATCTACTGCTAGGAAGGAGTGATTACTATTTCACATGATTGCTTTCACAGAGGTCATGATCTGCGGATGGTTATGTCTGCTGCAGGTTTTGTAGTGGTTTATCATGTGGCGGTATTGTTCAGTGGGGGGTAAACATAAGTCCTTTTTGTTAATGTTGCCAAGTCGTTTGTGAATATGGACGGTGATTCAAACTTTCCTAAGATTAATTGTGGAGTAAGAATTGAGAATTTAGTTACAATAGTCAATTCATTGATTCAACATTAGTTGGCAGATGGTGTGAAGGTTGAATCAGCCTATAGTTCATGGGTTTGATTAAGTTCTTATTAAGCTATCTTATTGTTGTTCACAGGCTGAATGCAAGGTCTATATCCAGTTACCTTATAGGGGCTGTCATCACTACATTTAAACTTGTGAATTTTCACTTATAGATGCATTTGCTATTATTTGTATACTTCAGTTATCAACCTAAGTTGTGTGCATTATGTTAACCATTTTTGAATTTACCATAGTATAAGGTTCCCAAAGTGATCGTTGTGCTGCTCAGATGGCCAAATATTTAGACCACCAGAACCTTTGGTGTATGTTGTTTTGATTTTCGTGATTGTTCTCCATTTCCATTTCAATCGTAACACCAAATTCATTAGTCCTCAAAGCAACATCCCCATTCCTGTATTTTTTTTATATGCAACCTTGCATAATGTTGAAGTTCAAATGATGGCGTTTCTTTTTCTTATAATATTGAGATCAATTTGGTTCTACATGTGTTCTCGATGACAAAGTTGAAAGATTATATATGGTTATGTTTTGTCATTGGTTCTTAATTAGTTAATTTATTTTTTTATATTTAAAAGAGAACCACTTTCTATTTTTAAAAACTTATAGATTTGTAAATCATACAGTACAATACAATTGATTTGTTTTCAATCTATAGTAAAGATTGGTCGTATAAGTAAACTCATATTTTGCATCTCCCGACGCAGACGACAGTGGATCCACAAAAATGAAGAAGAGAATGCAAAACATGTTTGTTCGCAGAACGACGTATTGGATGTCGTTCCATTTATTTGCCAGGCCCATATAAATCTTGGGCTAACGAATATAAATTTTGACAAATTTGATTTTGAAATAGATTCGGAGACCCAAAATTACAAAAAACGATTCTTCTAATATACTATTTGAACACCTAATTAGATATGATAATGCTCATCAGATGAGGATATGCAAATTGTATGATCGTTTCTTCACGATATTGTTATGGAAACTGAGTCATATACTTTTTTATAACAATAAAATACAATTTATTTTATTTTCTTTAGATAAACTCAAGTATAATTCCAATCCCGACGCGGAGCGCGGGCAAGGATACTAGCGGGAAATATAACTATGCAAATTGCTTCATCTCATTCGCTCTTACTTTTTAATTACATGTGATTGATGTTTACATTGATAATTATATATAACTATGCAAATTGTTATTATCATTTGCCCACAGTTCCCGTTCTCACCTCATACGCTCTTACTTTTTTCCCTTTTTATTGTATAGATTTTTTAAGTAAAGAAGGAGAAAATTGAGGAATCGGTTAGCAAATTTTTTTGTGAAATGTTGTTATTTTTTTAGAGGGTTTGAATTTTAGAATAGGAAATCAGGAGTTATTCTGTTTCATAGAGAGTCGCTATTGGAAAACGACAATTACTGTATTTCTCGGTGTGTTGACGTGGAAGCGTAGATTTAGACTAAGGCTAAATAATGGGCCCTCTTTTATGATGTAAATAGATATATGAATTGGCCCAGTGTTCTCATACTTAGCCCGAATAAGAAATGGCTTGATGCTTATATTAAATTTCTAAAGTTTTTTGGAAGCCCATTTTACAATGGTTCGGTCCATTTGGGGAACAATTTATGGCCCACTTAATCTCCAATATACGATTTTATAATGGTAGTAAGAAATCGTTTTGGGGACCAACTTCCACCGCCTTTTCATTTCAGTTCTAATTCTGCCTTTTCAACATCCCCTGTTCTCTGAACTCCTTTCCCCAGAAGCTACAGTGCTTCGCAACTTCCAGATCAGAGATAGTTGTATATTCATGGGGTATGATCACCGATAGTTTTTTCTTTTGCATTATGTCTTTGTTTCTTTGCACTTGAACCAATTTTTTATCTTCTATTGTCTTTTTATATCAGCCATCGTTGTATAATGCCTCGTGACTTCAAACTTCCAACTCTTCCACGAGGTATAGACTCTGTTGCTTTCTGTTTCAAGTTTCTATTTGTTGGTTTATGAATGAACACTGCCGAAGTGTTAAGTTTAGGTGTTTTTCTTTGTCTTTTGTTTATTACAGACCCAATTTTCACATGCATGGTGTTTCGTGGCCTCCGTCTTGGTGCTTATACTGATATTATGATCGTTCGAGTTCTAAATGTATGGATTGAGTATAGTGATGACTCTCAAGGGCATAGAAGAACAATGCATGTGCTGTGTCTAGACAAAGAGGTCTGTCATTCGTCTATATAATGTAATATTTATTGTTTATGTTTGATTGTGGTAATGCACTAAATCACATTTAACAGGAACATATGCTAGAGGCCTGTATTGAGGAAGATGACATTCAAGAAATGCAACATAAGTTGATAGTAGGCGATTTACATGTTCTCGATGGTTTTCATGTTAAACCTGCGAGGGAAAACAGGCGTGTTGTTCC